GACAAGCAGACCAGCCTTGAGCAGCTAGAAAACCAGAAGATACTTCTTGAAAGAAAGACCTACAGGAAAAATACAAAACAATAAGGGCAGTCTGACTGTTACCACAAGAACATGCAGGTTGCTTGCCCAGGAGACATCAAGGCAAGTGGTCGGGTCCTCTCAGTGCAAATTCTTTTCCAAGACTAAGACTCAAGGGAAATACATGCTTTGATTGGTGACCACGCACGTCACCCAGAAGGGGAAGTGACGGAAGAACATCAATGAATTGGCGAACTAAGCCCTACATTGTTCAGCAAACTACTGTGAACCCAGGTGGAGACCTGGTTGGCCAGCAGCGAGGCAAGACCTGGGGACTCATGGGCTCAGAGTCAATGACACAGCCACAGAAGACTAGAATGGAGAGTGGGGCAGCCAGCCGATAAAAAGAGGGCGGACAGACACAAGAACACCCACACTTGCAGATGATACCCACTTGACCTGGCTTCAATGACTGGATGAACAGAGCTCAACCCGAAGAAGAAAGAAGAGGAAAAAAGTGTCATCTGATACAATTCGATAAACTTGACCTACACCTATAAATGCAGTAGCTCAAAAGAGGAAACAAATCCCTGCTGCAAGAACTATTCCCACCCCCTCCAGACAAAGAGTAGACAGGGATGGGCAACTTGGACATTGGTTACCCAAAAAGGGGGGAGAGATACAAAGGTAAGAAGTGACTGGCTTACAAGCTTTCAAGAGGGAATCTAGATCCAGAGGACATGGAGGAAGGTAGAGTCTTCAGTGAATAGTATCCAGCCTGTCCAGGAAGGGCTGATGAAATGAAATACAGATGGGTCTCTTGTGATGATTGTGAGGGTTGGAAATCTAAAGGTGGACATTTTGTAGCAAGGAGGGGCGTGATTAACTCTTCATTCTAGGAACGGAGGGCCCTGGGACCATCAATGGAGAAGAGCGAAGAGTGGAACCCTACCCAGAGAAGCAGTGAGGCCTGAGATGGAGGCAGGGAAGATGACGTGAAGAGATGGAGTGGCTGGGGACTTGGGATCCAGAGAGGGAAAGGGGCTGAGGACTGTGGGGGTGGGGGGCAGGCTTGCAGGGTACATCACCTTTGGTTGAGTGATGATGCATGGACGGGATGGTAAGTATGCCAATGAAACGATGTATGATAGAATGAATGTAAAATTAATGTTCTCCCATGTAAACTCTTACACAATTCACAATAAAACATTTATTTAATAATAATAAAAAAAAGACAGCCAAGCATCTTAACATTAGTCCCCCCTTTTCCCCATTCCAACTATGTCTCAATCTCTGTATCCCAGAGCCCTGTTGTTCCAAGGTTGTGCATATATCATTATTTACTTCTGTCCCACTTAGCCCATTCAAACCTGCCTAATTGTTCTCCCATCTGCTTTGTTCTTCTAGTCCCCTCTCCCTTCTTGCATATTGCCCCCTCCCCCGCACCCAAACTATCCTGTGTCTCTTCCCTGCCCTGTGCTCCACCTTCCCCGCCCTTCCCTCACCTACCCGCAATATCCCAGCAATCAACAAAAAATCCCTCCCACCCCCCTTTAGTAAGTGTTCTTTTTCTTAGTCTTTTACATTAGTGGTCCTATGCAGTATTCCTCCTTTTGTGACTGACTAATTTCACTCAACATAATATCCTCAAGGTTCATCCATGTTATGTGGTGGCTTGCAGCTTCCTTGTTATTTTTCAAGGTAGCATAATATTCCATTGGGTGTATGTACCACAGTTTATCCATTCTTCAGTTGATGGGCACTTTGGCTGTCTCCATCTTTTTGCTATTGTAAATAGTGCTGCTATGAACATTGTTGTGCATATATTTTCTCATGTTGTGGTTCTTTTTTCTTGTGGGTAAATACCAAGTAGAGGAATTCTTGGATCATAAATTATTTCTATTCCCAGCCTTCTGAGGAAGTGCCATATTGCTTTCCAGAGAGGCAGGACCATTTTTCAGTCCCACCAGCAATGCAGGGGCGTCCCAGTCTCTCCACATCTTCACCAGCATTTATTGTCCTCTGCTTTTTTGATCTTTGCTGTTGTTGGTGGTGTGAGATGATATTTCATTGTTGTTTTGATTTTCATCTCTCTAAGGAGCTCTGGTAGCTTAGTGGTTATGAATCAGGCTGCGAGCCGCAAGGTCAGCAGTTCGAAACTACCAGCTGTTCTGCAGGAGAAAGATGAGGCTTTCTGCTCCCGTAAAGATTTACAGCCTCGGAAACCCTGTACAGGGTCGCTATGAGTCAGAACCAACTCCACGGCACACAACAACAACAACAATGGCTTGTGATCATGAACATTTCTTCATATGTTTGTTGGCTGCCCAGATCTCTTCCTTGGTGACATGTCTGTTCAAGTCCTGTGCCCATTTTTTAATTGGGTTATTTGTCTTTTTCTTGCAGAGGTGTTATAGTTTCCTATATATTTTAGAAATGGTTCCTGTTTTGAATAAGTGATGCTGAAACATTACAAACTTTCTTTCCCACCCTCTCCTCAGGAGCATCCAGTGTGACTAGTTTCCTAGACCCCTGTCAGAGATACTTCCATTCTTCTGCTAGCGTGTGCAGTACGTGCCAGTTTGTTTTTTTTCATTTTACAGCTCAATGAATAGCATATTTGACGTACTGTGTGCATATTCCTTTAGTCACTGGTCTTTGAGTTTCTCCCATATTGGTACATAAGGAATAGCCTTACTCCTTTTTGCAGCTGCATAGTATTCTGCTGTGTGAATGTACCATAATTGACTGTAATCTCTTCCTTGTTAATGGACTAGTCTGTTTCTAGGCTTTTGTGTTGACAAATAGTGCCTCAATGGATATGCTAATTGCTGCAAACTGAAGTGAATCTGTGGGTGTCCTATAGCATCACATTTGTCTAAATTCATGGGTGTAAGAATTAGCACAAAGCTGGTGTCTGTGAGGCAGAAATCAGGTATGACTCTGTTTTCCCACTTTTCCATTATTTCTGACATCCCTTACACCTCCCTACGGCATTCTTCACTTGTTTGCAAGGTTTAAAAATGTGTCACAAACCACACTCACAGTTATATGGTTTATTAGGAAAAAAACAGGCTTTAATATGGGATCAGGGTCAACTTAGAATTAACAGGAAAACTTGAGATCAGTGTCAGGAAGCACAGAGACAAGGTTTGGGTGGGTCTGAAGTGATGCTATGCTCCCTTCTTCGGTGTGGGACAGCATCTGACCAGGAGTCCTCAGAGCAAAAAGGCTCCTGGAGCAGCTTAACTCTCCTCTTCCAGTGATCGGTAGGCATGCCTTCTCTCCTGGGCAGCTGCCTTCTCTGCCATACAGGCCTCTGCCATTGGCCTAGTTACCATTGGGTTTTCCGCTGTTGGGCTCCCTGCCATCAGCCTCTCTGCTAAGAGGCTCTCTGCTGCTAAGTGGCCAGTGTAGTAGCAGCCCAGCTTTCTCAGCTGCTGCTCTCCTATCAGTATTTCTCACTGTTAGACCTCTGCATCAGGCCTCTGCATCACCAGTCCTTGCCACTGCCGGCCTTTTCAGCTGTGAACAGCCCCATGGAGAGCCAGTGGAGCAGCTTGCCGTACTCATAGTGGCTCTCTACCAGCAGCCTTCCACTGCTAACTGACCACTGTATAGCCAGGGGAGCAGCTTCAGGATTGCTCAGCTCCCATGAGGCTCTGCATTCTGCCTGCCAGCTCCTAGCCAGCAGCACTCCCAACCCTGGGAGGGGCCTCCATGTCTCAAAGGACACACTCTCCTCCCAACGCCTATCAACCAGGAAGCCTTGAATTCCTCTGATCTTCAGCCATGTATATATTCCAGTCCTCAGCAGTTACAAGTTTACTCAGTCTTCAATTTGCTGTGAGATACCATTCAACTCAGGTATTGTGCAAAAGTAATATTTTCTGCCAGCAGAGACCAGTCAAATGTAACAATCCTCTGGAATAGAAAGCAATCTGCCAAGTCCCAGGTTGGTTCTCCAAAGAATTTGTGCAAAGGGCTTTGGGGAGGAAATCTCCCAAACAGTTTTTCCAAGGCAAAAGGCCACATAAGAGAACTCATTGTACCCACAGTAGGATAGTTCCCAGAGTGGAATTTGTAGGGATCTTAATTTGTCCTTCTCTCCAGGCCAAAGGATGCCATTCGAGCCCTGAAGAAGCGGCTCAACGGGAACCGGAACTACAGAGAAGTGATGCTGGCATTAACTGTGAGTTCTCCTTTCCTTTCCTCAGTTGGGATTGGGTCTTATTATTGACAGTTGCTGTCACCTCTGACTCATGTTGACTCCTGGGTGTCTGAGTAGAACCACCGACGGATTTTCCAGAAGTTGATCACGGAGTGGACTTGAATAACCAGACTTTTAGTTAGCAGCTGAGTGTGTTAACCATTTGGACCACCTAGGATGTGGGGAAACATCTAGAAAACCTGGTCTACCTACCTCATCCACTCGCATGACCTTCCCTTCATCTACTCATTACTCAGTACAGCCTCCGGGGGCCATAGCTAGCGACTGGCTTCAGTGCAGTGCCTCGAGTGCTCAGCAGAGCTTTGTGGCTCAGTTTCCCTGCCCTACTGTGAAACAGGACTGAACACAACTCAGTAAATGTAGACCAGCAAAGCTCAGAAGCCGGAGACCGAGGCTTGATCCTCTGCTGCCTTCATCCTGCTCTGAGCAGAACCAGTTGTTCTCTAGGTGTAATTCCTCTTCATAAAAACGTTGTCTTCCACCTACTGAGTGAAGCCAGGGTTATAGCAAGATTTTAAGATGTTACTACAGATGTTTACAGCAGCCTCCTCCTCATGTGGATGAGGAAGCTGAGGCTCAGAGAGGTCTTGGGGTTTAATCAGCTGGCAAGTTATACTGAGCTGCAGATCACCATCACAAATGGTCTGTCTGTCACACAGAGTGGGAACTAGTTAGACCCTGAAGGCCAACCAAGTGGCTCCTTGCAATAGCAAACTGGGTTTTGCCCTTTCTTAAGATGCCAGAGAATTAAAAGGACAATTTAAGGTCGTCTTTCCATCTTATAAAAGCAAACTGCTTTTTGTGACAAAACCTGGGGCAGGGTGCCTTCTAATCACGCACTGTGACAGTGCTGCATGTTGGTCTCGCTAACGGATTGTGGCTTACTTCCTTTAAAACTTTAAAAAACATTGTAATGTGCTTTTAGGTGAAAGTACTGTGGTTGGGTGCCATCAAGTTGGTTCTGACTCCTAGTGAATAGGGTTTCCAAGGAGCAACTGGTCAGTTTGGACTGTTGACATTGCAGTTCAAATGGATCTTGTAGCCTTGTGGGCTTATCCTGCAGTGCCACCCCAGGACTCCTAAGGGAAAGTTCTTGTTGTTGTTGTTGTTGTCAAGTGCCGTCGAGTCGGTTCCGACCCATAGCGACCCTGTACAGGGTTTCCTAGGCTGTAAATCTTTACAGGAGCAGAACACCTCATCTTTCTCCCGTGGAGCGGCTGGTAGTTTCGAACTGCTGACCTTACGGTTCGCAGCCCGATTCGTAACCACTACGCTACCAGAGCTCCTTCCTAAGTGTGTCCTAAGGGAAAGTGTGCACAGAAAATTAGTTTTCCCAATCAGTAGTTTATATTCCCACTGCTAACTATCCTAGGGCACTGGCTGCAGCCCCTCAGTGTGCCAGCACCCTCCTTATTTACTCCCTGGTTTCCCTGCCCTTCGGTCCTCTCACCTTTGCTTTTGAGCACGTGTCCCCCGTTGGTGTCCTATAGGTGATCGCTCTGAGGAGTACATTCTTCATGTTGTTTGGTTTATAATCCTGCCTTTTAGTTGTCTGCTAGATGGCCTCAGGGGATGTCTTTAATTTCAAGTTAGATTTTCTCTGGGCAGTAGTTTTGGTGGTTCCTCTAGCCTCTTTCTGACCAGTAAGTCAAGTCTTTTCTTTTTTCCATTTGAATTTTATTCTACTTTTTTTTTTTTTTTTTTCCAAAGCTATTGCAACTGGGACCTTCTATTGTGGTCTTGGCCAGAGTGGTCAGTAGTGGTAGCCAGGCACCATCTGGTTCCTCTGGTCTGTGGTTAGAGGAGGCTCTGGTTTATGTGTCCCATGGGACCTTTTGACTCATTTTTCCCTTGAGTTTTCATTTTCCTGTTTCTTGTGCTTCAGGTAGGAAGAGACCAATAATTGTTTCTTAGATAGCTGCTTGCAAGCATTTTTTTTTTTAAGTCTCATCAGTTAAATAACGATTAAAAAAAAAAAAAAAAAAAAAAGGAAACCAGAAGAGGCAGGAGAAGCCCCTGTGCTAGGGACACAGGAATTCTGGCTCATGGCCCCCACCCCACCCCGGACTCCAGTTTGTTCTGTTGCTACAGGGGAGGGGTGGAGGTGGGCATGATTGTCCTGTGGAAGCCTCCGTTGAGCTGGGTAGGGGACTCTCACTTCTGGGGTGTGCTCAGCTGCTACATGCTCCGGATCTTGTCCAGAGATGAAGGCCTCGGTGGGTGTGGGGTGTCATCGCTCTACACGTTCTGCGGTGGCTCCTCCTCTTTAGTCTCCAGCTCTGCAGCCTCCTTCTCTTGACAGTCTTAGAGGTGAGATTGCTGCTCCAACATCCATTCCTCCAGACTGTCTTCCAAATTTCTTTAGGGCTATATCAGCTTGTTGAAACATTTTAATTTGTATTCCATCAGTTCCTGGAGCCTTGCTTTTCACTAATGCCTTCAGTGCAGCCTGGACTTCTTCCTTTCTTCCTTCAGAATCATTGGTTCTTAATCATATTTCACCTCTTCAAATGGTTGAATACTGACCATTTCTCTCTGTCTTTTTATTAAAGCTTTTATTTTGAATTGAGTGATAGTTTACATGGGAGAACATCAGTTTTTCACTTACCTTACTGTATTTCGTCTCATTGCAATGATTACAATCCCCTCCATGCATCATAATTCAACAGTATTTGCTTCTATTCCCTCTGGTTTTTTGTTTTTTGATGTACACAAAAACAGTTCTTCCAAAACGGATCTATTGGTCCTTTTGGCAGCCCATGGCACTTTGAATATTCTCCTCCAACACCATAACTCAAAAGCATCAATTCTTCTATGGTCTTCCTTATTCACTGTCCAGCTTTCACATGCATATGAAGTAATTGAAAATACCATGGCTTGGGTCAGGCACACCTTAGTCCTCAAGCTGACATCTTTGCTCTTCAACACTTTGAAAAGGTCTTGTGCAGCAGATTTGCCTAATGCAATACGTCATTTGATTTCTTGACTGCTGCTTCCGTGAGTGTCAATAGTTGATCCAAGAAGAATGAAGTCCTTGACAACCTCAGTCTTTTCTCTGTTGATAAGAATGTTGTTTATTGGTGAGGATTTTTGTTTTCTTTACATTGAGATGTAATCCATACGTAAGGCTGTGCTCTTTGATCTTCATCAGTAAATGTTTTAAGTCCTCTTCACTTTCAGCAAGCAAGGTTGTATCATCTGCATATCGCAGGTTGTTAACGAGGAAGACTCATGAAGTATATTGATATATAATTTTCTTTTTTTCGTGATGTCCTTGCCTGGTTTTTGTGTAAAGGTTATGCTCACTTCATAAAATACATTTGGGAGTTTTCCATCCTTTTCTATCTTCTGGAATAGTTTAAGTAAAATTCATGTCAGCTCGTCTCTGAATGTTTGGTAAAATTCACCAACAAAGCCATCTGGGCTTGGACTTTTTTGTTGGGATTTTTTTTTTAATGACTTGGTCGATTTCTTCTTTTGCTATAGGTCTGCTCAAATTTTCTACTTCACTCTGTTAGTTTAGGTAGGTTGTATTTTTCTAAAACTTTATTCATTTCTTCTAGATTGTCCGTTATCCTTTTTATTTCCATTGGTTCTCTATGTAACCCATATAATTTTATATGTAACCCATTTTTATGGTTTTTATGGTTCTATGTGTAACCCATATAGTTTCTTATGCATGTTATTTGTGTCTTCTTCCTTTTTTCTTTTGTTTGATTTCCCAGTGGTTTGTCAATTTTATTAATAATTTCAAATAATCAGCTTCTTGTCTTGTTGGTTCTTTGTATTGTTTTTTTCCATTTTCTAATTCATTTATTTCTGCTCTTGTCTTTATTATTTATTTTAGTCTGGTGACTGTAGGTTACCTTTGCTGGGCTGTTTCTAATTGCTGGAGTTGTTTTGTTAAAGTGTTGATTTTGGTTCTTTCTTCATTTTGGGTATGTGAGTTTATTGCTACAAATTGCCCACTGAGTACTGCTTTTTGCTGTGTCTCAGAGGTTTTGTAGGTTGTGTTTTCATTTTCATTTGCTTCAAGGAATTTTTAAATTTCATTTTTATTTGCTCTGTTACCCACTAGCTTTTAAGCAGGATGTCATTTAGTTTTAATGTATTTGGTTTGTTTCCTTGATCTTGCTATTGTTGATTTGTAATTTTATAGCATTGTGATCTGAGAAGATATAGTATTTTGATGTTTTAAAACGTATTGAGACTTTCTTTGCAACTTAACACATAGCCTGTTCTGGAGAATGTTCCATGTGCACTGGAAAAGAATGTGTATTATGCTGTTGTTGGATTGAGTGCTCTGTACTAATCTATGATGTCCAGTTGATTGTGTTGTTTTGTTCCTTGGTGTCTTTGTTGAGTTTCTTTCTCGTTGTTCTGTCTTAATTCTAAAGTGGTGTATTAAAATCTCTCACTAATATTGTAGAATTGTGTATTTCTTTCTTTAATTCTACTACAGTTTGATTTATGTATTTTGAGGCTCATTCTTTGGGAGCATAGATATTTATTACAGATATGTCCTTTTGTTCAATTGACCCTTTAATCATGATATGATGTCCTTCTTTGTCTCTTATGCTGGTTTTTGCCTTTAGGTTTATTTTATGAGATATTAATAATGCCTCTCCTGCTCATTTTTGATCGCCATTAGCTTGATAGATTTTTTTCCATCCTTTAGTTGTTAATCTGTGTTTGTCTTTATTTGTAGGGTGTGTCTTCTAGCAGCATATTTTCTTATCCATTTTGGTACTCTTTGTCTCTTGACATGTATGTAACCCATTGACATTCAGTGACATTATCGATAGATATGAATTGATTGCAGTAAATTTGCTGTGTTTATTTTTTTGTGTTGTTGTTGTTGTGCTGCAAGTTTCTTTGTTCCACATGCTATCCTTTGCTGAGTCCATTTTTTGTGTGTGCTTTTTCTTGCCAACTTCTTCATAGTTTTAATGTTTACAAAA